TAATATATATTAGGAGTTTATATTTGATTACACTTGTTAATTCCTTCATTATTTAATGAGATCTGTAAAAGCAACTTCCCATGGGGATATATTTTTCGTCAATCTAGGCAAAGTATTTTGATGAATATTAGTTGATCATAAGTTATTGGTTCATTGTATACTAAAAAAAACAGCATAATTTTATATTGGCATGACCAGGTGTTAAACTTATGGTAAGTGGAATAAAAACTAGAAAGTATATTCACACTATGACAAAGCTAATTAGTGATTATGCTACTTCTTATTCGGCGGTATATATATATATATATATATATATATATATATATATATATATATATAATCGTTTTTTTAGATCATGTCTCTAGGGAAATACTACTAGCCTTGAGGTTATAAACCAAATATAGATTCTGGCTAAAGATATACCCATATATATGTATGTATATACCACTAAAAATAAAGGAACACTAAAGACACATTGTGCGCTAGTTTGGAACTCCTCCTAGTGTTCTCTCAATCTCAACCCAAATTATAGGTAGAAACCATTAAGTTCCACGATATTGCTTGAGTTTTATTGAGTCTTGACTGCCCGGTACGTTGTGGTTAATTTATACTATTTTATTTTTCTGCCAAAAATTTTGATTAGTTTCGGTTGAGGTTATGCAGGTAATCATACAATGTAATTACATATTCCTAACTAGAAATGTTTATTTGCAGTATATATATCACTAATGCATTCGACCTTTGAATATTGAGTTTAAGGATTGTGGACAATTATCCAGTATTGTTAAATTATTCGGACCGGAAAACATATTTTATGGGGTAAATAAAGAAGATATTAGTTCGGATATAAGTCACTTAACAGTGATTGGGAATACATTCCCATCACACATGTGCTAATCAGAACAGGTTGAAGAGAAATGGTGATGTTCAACTAGCCACCTCTTTTCAAAGGTTTGTCAACAAATAATTGGACCTTATTTCAATCCACTCTGTTTATATCACATGTAGCTTTACTCTGACAGCAACTAATTTAAATGTTTTAACATCACAACTATCTTTTTGATGATTTTCATTTTATTTTCATTCTCACGTTTTAAAACATTTTTCAGTTTGTATTATTATTTTTCATAAATAAATTAGTTGAAATATCTTCGGCACCAGACAGAGGCTTTATTTATTAACCGAAAATTGATCATCACTAACGTAACGGTACACATACTCATTCATTCTTTTTTACCTTATGAAGTTTCCACATTGTTCACATCTTACTGGCTCATGATCCTACTTAGCAAAGTCAGCATTTGCTTATGACTGGATAATGTAGATATATATTATTTGATAGTTTTGATTTTAATTATTACCCTGAAGAAGTCCAGACAAGATTAATGGACGAAGCGTTGAAGTTATCTGAGTTTCAGTTGGTGAGATTATTGAAAATGTAATTTTTACAAATAGTATTTACATCATTGTTCTAAAGTAAATTCAGCTGTTGATACAAGTGATTTACAGAATCTGAAGTCATCTGATTAGTTCTTGATTGTCCATTTATTTGTGAATCATATTTTCACCTATATATTTACTGGTAATTAGTTCGCTAAGCATTTAATTAAAGTTATTGATCTTGCTAATACAATACTATGTCCTAGTTTTACAAACTACAAACAGTGAAACAGTTAGATCAAACATATTTACGTAAGCTAGAATATACTGCTGACAAATATCATCTTACTAACCAGTGACATCATCATACTATTAACTATACTGTACAACCTCTAATAAAATGAAATCCTCTATAACTGATGGTGGCTATCATCATTTTTCATCCAGTTCTAAATATGTGTTCAATATTTAGTTCTATGTCAAACTACTGAGTTTCTTAAACTAGAAATAAAAAATAAGATTTCACTAGCTATAAGAATTGCTAATATAAAGTATTAGTAACAATCATAATATTATTGTTATTATCAAAGATTTTCTCCTATTTAACAATAACCTCTTTAGATATGTGAATAAATTTAATACCCTTCTTGTCTGAACTCTGTTAATTCAGGATAACAATTCCCTAGAGATGTGACATCATTGAAAGTTTTGATTTTTCTAGACTTTATCTAGATTATTTTATTTTTCTATCTTTCTCTTTATGCCTCTATTCCTTACTGTAGATAGCTGTTTTTTTGTATACAGATTTTAATGAAGACTTTTTTTTATTGTTGCCAAAATAGATTTTCATTTTTTGCTCTCTCCAAAAAATGTTAAATGCGCAGATGGAAAAATTTATACATATACAAATATAATATAAACTAAATTATAATGAAAAAAAGACAAAATGAATGAAGAATGTCCCTACACTTCTTTTTTTCTCAATTTGTCTTATTATTATTATTGTTGTTATTATATAAGTAGTATAAGTGGGTATTCAGTAGTTACTCAATCAAAGTTTTGTATTTGATCTCATGTCAAAAATTTTGAAATCAGTGATTCAAAGAAAAAATAAATTCAAATTTTCGAACTGATTTATGAACACAAAGGATAAGAGATAAAGTTCAATGTATCAATAAAATAAATTGAAGGTCATTACGATTATATGTTGAATTGATTATTATTAATAAATTATTCAAGGTCAAATAATCAAAAAAATTTAAATGAACTATTTGACCTCTGATTAGTTAACTAATGAATTGATTGAATATTTAATTATTAATTTCAAATGAAATATTTACTGTTTAATAGAATGATTGTAAAACGTGTTTTTTTTTAAAAAAAAATCTCAATGAATATTATTGTATTTGTGGTAATTACTTAAATTTACTAATAAATGTATTATCACTTATATTGGTTTGAATGAGTGAAAAAAATCTTTCATATTTCGGAAACTATCTGAATAAACAATTAACGTACAGGGTTTTGATTGAGATTATATTAGACCATACTAGGATGAAACAACCGTCCAGTACTTCAAAGTTATCAATGGTGGTTTGACGTTGATCGATTCATAATCTTAAACAAAATTCAACAAGCGTACTGATGTTGTCGTGAGTGAAGACTTGTTGGGGAAAACCAATTCATTATTTTATGCATATCATACAGTACCTCCGTAAAATATGAAAATCATACACAAATCTTTCTTTAGTTGTCTCCATCATTCCTCTAATTCTGTTGTTCTTCTGAATGCTCTCCGTTTTCCATTTTTCTGCTGGTTTACACTCTACTTCTTATTCCTGCTACATACTAATTATATCTATCCGCATTGGAAGCGCACACCAACATGTGTACGTGGAAGTTGAGGACGCTACCCAACTTCTTAAACTAAACTAGATGGAGTAAGATTCAAACCCGATATCTACTTATTAAAACTCAAGTGATTTAATCGAAAATAATCTTATAAAATCTTCACCAAGTGTTTTGTAATTCTACACTTTATAAAATCAATCACCCTTAAATAAATTGAAGTTCTGAATTTGTTCGACATGTTGATAAGGTTTTGAAACTAAAACTATACATTCTTTAATTATAAACTTATAACTTGGGTCAAACAATACTCTCAAAATATGCTAATTTTATTTTAGTTAAAATATTCCGACTAAACCTTTATGATATAAATGATTTTTATTCTTTTGGAATTTTTTAACGTGGAAGAATCTTTGTTAAATATTAGAAAATAAACACCATATCTATGAGAAAGGAAATCAGCCCTCTCTCGGCAATACTGTTTTATGGAAAATATTTTTACACACTGTTACGGACAATAAAACAGAGTTCGATGTTCCTGAAATTTACACTAACCACATATAATTTACTTGACAAACTATAACTTGTAGAGGAACTATAAAAAATAATGAATTTCTCTTACCATTTCATTATGTGATAATATGTCTAAATATTTATTCTCATAATAAATAGCTTTCACTATATTCCAAATCATTTCTTAATCCAAGACGTTTTTATATACATTTACCATTTCTGTATGCTTGAAACCCAATTTACAAACTTAACAATTTTTTAGATCTGTTTACAAAAGTTTCTTTTAATTGTTCATTTTTGTTCATAACTTTCAAATTTTAACATAATTCATGAAGTTTATGAACAAACTATAGGATCAAAATATATTTCTTTTTGAAAGTTATTAAGATCAAGTGGATAATGCTTCCATGTCAACTACAAGTTTCTCGTAACAAGTTATTGAATTTAAAGAAAAAAAAAGTGACTTATATAAGCTTTTGAGTTGAGTTCATTTGACTGTCGATTCACTAATGTTGAACTGATCTTAACTATTTGTTTAACATGTACGGTTCTACTTATAACTTCAATTTGTTTTAATCTCCAGGGTAAGTTCAGGGATCACTATTCATTATAGTTAACAGAGTCTAGCTTTTTAGTGCAAACCTGTTATTGCTTATTCAGTTTAGTATAATAATAATGATATGATATAAGTAGTTAACAGTAAATATATACTGGTATATTCGTACTGATTTTATTGGCCCTCTGTTATTCTGAGTTTCTCCTAAAACCTATTATCCAGTATATATATACTAATATTAATAATAATTAACCAAAAGATTTATGCAAATTGCATATATATATATATATATATATATTTGTTTATATATGTAATCATCATTAATGATTAAAATAAGCTTTAATATACACGTATAAATAGAGAACAAAAAATTCAACCACATTGATTATTATTATTACTGTTGTGAGTTGTAGACTAAATTGTTTTTTTATCTTACTATCTTGTTTATCTTTCAGTGATACGTATACTTTTACCATGTAATTGTTAATTATCATGGGTATTATTTTAAAATAAGTGAACATTGATAATTTCTTAATACTGTATATGTAATAGTTCGGTGAAAAAAGGAAATATTTTACAAATAATTTGAATACATTAAAAGATAGAATAATTTTAGTTCATCATCATAATAATAAGATTATCATTATTATTACACTATCCATGTAGTAACAGAATAATGAACAAGATTTCTCACTGTCACATTTCATCTCTTTAACGTCTCTAATTAATAAATAATTTTAAGAAATTAATTATTCAATTAAAAATTTAATACATTATATATTGTAACATTTAACTGAAGAAAATGAACGGAATAAAAGTTGACATACACCAGGTAGATTGTAAACTAAATTAATACTTCATGGAATAAGCTACTATACGCTTGTATATATGTTAATATTAAAAATTAACAGGGATAAAAGGATGTGTTTTATAAAATATTTTATATAGTTATATATATATATATATATAATAAATCATTTAAACAAAACTGGAATTATGATTATCTCGGGTAAGTTTTTGTTCTGATGTACTAACGGAATGTTGATTACATTTCAATGGTGTATATGTGTGATTCATTGAATTGTTCACTTGTTCATTACCAGTTAAATAAATTGATTTTGTTTGGTCACTTAAATTGTTCTTCATTCCATTATTATCAGTATTAACATCATTAACATTATTATCATCTGCTGTATTATTAGTATTAAGTGGACAGACAGTGATATGAGGTGTACTACGTGAAGTAAATGTATTCGATGAAATTACATTATTGTCACTATTATTAGTATTGTTATCTAAATAGAGAGGTTGTCTAGTTGATAATAAAGTACAAGTAGGATTAGATCGAAGCCAATTTTCATTGTCATTCCCTCCGTAATTTTGTTTGAATGATTGAACATTGTTTAAATAACGGTGAGTACATTGTGGTTGAGCTAAAATAGCTAAAATATATTCACATCTCAATTATATATAATGAAAGTAAATCATAATCAATAAATAATAGTAATTACTTTATTTGATAGTGTTAATTTTGTCATAGTAAGTAGTTCACACGATATATTATGCATTATTACATTTTTTCAATTTAACATGGGCTTAAACTATGATTATTGAAAATTATATTTAGTAAATATTGTCAGCAGTATAGAAGTGTCACACATCTTAAACTATTATTATTTTTTCTCCACTTCAGCTGTTAAAACTATATTCTTCGACCCCTTGTATCTAAGATATATGGATTCTGATACGTACGTCTCTCGAGGAAGAAAATAATTCAGTTAATCCAGTTTTCCTTCATCATAATAATCAGGAGGCACTGTACAAAATTGCATGAATACGTAATGTTAACATTCACTATTATTCACTTCGAAGAATTAAGAACAGGAAGGTTAATTGGGATATTTGCACATTCGAAAAAATTAAGTGGCTCAAATATTTGAGCAAGGAGTTAGCTAATGAATCCCTAGAAATTTTTTTAACTTACAAAATAACTTTCACTAAAGATGGATACAATTAAGAAAACAGCTATCTGTTTTTTTAATGTCTGATATTATTTGGTTATTCAGTTCAAACCTTTGTATTTTTGTCCAAATGATCTACAGTTAAAAGGCTAAACAAGTGTACCTAGTTTTTAAGATCTAAATTACACATAATCCTTATGTAAAAATAATACAGTATCTAAATTTTATCCAATTGAGTAGGATTATAAAAATCTAAACTGTTTCAAATAATTAACTAATAAATAATCTATTTCTTATACTATTATTTTGTAAACGCCGTGGAAACAATCTAGTTGTTTCTAAGCAATATAAAAACCTACTCAAATATTCGCCGTACTTGTGATTTTTACGATATGAAACCAAAAAATATGGATCTTAACTTTTAACATTCAAATCAATACAAGTAAATTCATTAAGTATACTTTTTTAATTCATACTAGCTTCATATTTAAACTAAATAAAGTATGCATGAGGATTCATTAACACCCTTAGTTTCCTGATTATTTTCGTAGTTTATGGAAAATTTCAACTAAAATGAAAGAAGACAGAACAGAAGCCTTTCATAACTGAAATGATTACAAGTAACTCATTCATAAAATCGAGAAAAGCTCCTTGATTTAAGTAATGAAAGAAATTTTTATAAATAATAGCATACTGTGATTTTTCATCAAGCTTTATGAAGGATACTCAAAGCTGTGGTGTTTTGTCCAGACGTTAATTTAATAGCATTCTGCCAAATTTAGTGTTTTTAGTGGAAATGTTTGAATTCGTTTATCTTGGGCAGTAACGACGATTAGTCAGTCTTAATAAATTTGAAAGCTGAATAACTGATTTCATGTAAGTCATAACACATCATAATCAAAATGAAGTTCACAATAAAACGTAGTCGTCAAAGTTTTAAGCAGGGATCTATACTGTTCTGAAATATGCGCTGTTTAATCAAGTTTGGAACACTGATTGACGTCTTGCTGTGAACGCATATGACTAAATAAGTAGCTTATAAAACATGATGCCTAAATATGCTTCCTTGAACAACAAAGTGCGTAAAAAACACTGCATCCAAGGCTTTATAATTGATGATTCTAACTAGTTTTGTAGAAACTTTATCTCTGAAACATTGAGTACTTGAAAGATCAAATTAGTTTACTATTTTAATCAATAAATTCCAGTGGAACTTCGTTCTTAGGTTAAGTAAGATTTCTGGAATCTTGAAATGATGTAAGGATAGTAACCAGTGTACTTTTTTATTGTAAATCTCTGCTATCAACATGCTTTACCTTTGTAAGGAATCAAAGACTTGATTTCATGAATAATTGAGTTATTAAATACAATCATTCCTCGATTACTTGCTGTCAATAACAGACATGTCAATAGTAGTATTAGTAATATCCAAACGAGCGACTTGAAAAACTGTCCAATTTATTCCTTACTGACTATGAGCATGAAATAATCTGATTTTGTTCTCAAAAACAATTATTACTAAGGTAAAAGATGAAAAGGACCAGTGAGGTAAAATAAAAACAAATCGTTTTTAACTAATTAATGGGGTGATAAATCCACCTTATTTTCTTACTTTCCACGTAATCAGTGAAGTTGATAAACACATGGTAAACTACTTGTATTTAGTATTACATTGATTTAGGTGTAACTTAGTGCCAACTTCATGAAGTTATTTAAATTGAGATTTTTTAATCCTTCCTTAACGATATTTCATCAGATGTTTTAGAATGGAAGTTTTGGATTTCTTATTGTATAACTGAACAGTTCAATAATGGATTTTGGTTTAGTTATCTAGGGAAACAGGTTTCAAACTTTTCCTGTTATGGGAATATTATATAACAGCATGGAGTTGTGTAGATTGTTGGATGTTTTTTGAGATCATGGACCGATCAATGATATACCGCCGCGATAAGTCTTGAAACACTAGATGTCTAAACAGACATAATTACATGTGTATTTTATTATTAAAATGTGCTGGATTTTTATCAAACAAATTTGTTTCAATTTTTCACATTTACTTAAATTTTAAGTTTTACGTAAAGTAATTCAATGAAATTATAACAAAATATTGTATCGCATATTTTATTACTCATGTTAGTGATAAAGCACAAATGAACATTCTTCATAAAAAGAACAATGTAACTTTTCAACTGATTGCAACAGTGATAATGTTAATGAAATCAAGTTACTTGATTTGAAGTGTTTCAAACTTTAAAATGGTTAGTTTCGTATCAAAGTTATTTGAAATCTCCACATTCAATGTAAAATATCTATTAAAATATAAATTAAAAGAGCTTTAGAACTACAAATTGGCAATATATTTCTGTTATTCTATTAAGTTTGTTAAGTTTGATTTGAAGTTTGCTGAAAAACCTTTGCATTAACATTGAAAAATTCATCTATTATTAATAACGTTTCCTTTTATACAACGAAGTAGTTAATAGTTTTTTACTAAAAAGTTCAGTAAATGCTTGGTAGTATTCTAATTCATAGGTTGTGTACATTTCTAATTGTCCGACTTATTTTACTTGTATTCATTCCATTTAACTGTAAAAAATATTATTGCATGTACTACTTGTACTCACAGATATAAGTAGTGTGTTTCAGATACTGAAAGTAGAAATCTTACGGACAGAAAAGAAAAATGAGCAGAGAAAAGAAAACAGAAAGCAACTGAAATAATAACAGTAAAGAAAGAACACTGAAGTTTGTCAGGGACAACTCAATGAAGATCGGCAAATAGTGCATAATGTATTGTTTTCATATTTTACAAATACAGTGGGTGATTTTACAGATTATAATAAATTGGTTTAGTACTCGAGACTCCATTCATTCCACTAATTAAATTTTTAATTAAATCTTAAGCCTCCTTCAGTGATGTTCAATGAAATAACTGGAATATATATTGACAGTACACGAACAGTAATATCATTTGTTTACTAAATAACTTTTATGCTTCCTTGTTGAATATCTAATCTCTTATGATTTCATAACTATCATGATGATACAAAAGTGTTACGTTTTTTTCCAATTTCTTTTGATTCTATGCGTCACGTAAACCCAGTTATGTAGTCATTTTGAGATATTGGTACATAATTGACTTAACCGCGTAAAACAGGATGTTATTAAGAACCTTATGTTACTTGGTTCGAAACTCTATTTCCACTAAATATGCATCTAATCTACATTTCTTTAAACAAAAATAAGAAATTTGAAAAATAGAGATTACTTTATCCTCTCAATTTGTTACTTTTGATTTGGAGAAATAAACTGCTGAAGAATTTGTACAGTAATTCGGATTATGGAAGATTCTTTACGTGACTTGATCAAAAATCGAAAGGGGTCAAAGAAAGTTTACAGTCAGTATGAAATGAAATGTTAAAATTAAGGGTCGGGTCAAATTATTTGAAAAATGCCAAATCTTATAGCTAAAACATTAATTTTTTTAGAATGAAATATTAGAAAGCTGATTGAATCATAAAGTAAAAACCGTAAAATCGATGTACAAAAGGATTATTTATTTTTGAAGATAAGATCCCTTGAATATAATCAAGTTTTATTCAAGTTCATTTAAACTTACGTTCTATGAAATGTCCAGTATGCAGTAAGATACTGTAATCATTTGACTTGTAGTTTTCATCCAAACTGCTTGGTCCAGACGAAAGAAGTGAAAGAGATACTGGAATACGAGTTGAGTAGACAGTTACATCATCCGATTGATGGTCGGATTTCATTGAAGTACTTGGTAATAATAATGGAGTTAATCTGCAGTCATCATCTATGTACGAAAGTATGAGAGATGAAAACAATCAGATTAAATGTTAAGGTCGAATGTTATGCTTTTACATAAATAAATATTGAACATTTGTCATCAAAGTATTTAGCTAAAGAAATGTAAATATACGTAATTTGTACGGTCTCTCAACATTTTGATGAATTTCTGATCATTAGGAAACTTTGGATTCAAGCTGTATATGCAACCAAAGAGTCAGGTTCGTTTGACCAAACATGACAATTAAAGATGTTAATGACAAGTCATTCGAATGCGATTATTTAAGTAACCGTACGGATATTTTTGTGATATTCTAGAAATCCCATAGTAAAAGACATTTTCTTTAAATGGTATCCAGTGAACAACATTTGAATAAAAAAGCTTCAGTAGGCTGTTTGGAATTCAAAAGCTTTCATCATCACCTTGTATCTAACTGTAATGATTTTGTACCCATACTATACTTAATGCTTAAATCAAACAAATTTATAACTGACTTTTATCTATATATAACTTGAGTTTCAAAACGATAATCAATTAATTTGACGAAAAAGAGTATTCTTTCTTTCTATGTAGTATACATTACTTTTTTACTCATTAACAAATTAGGAATCTATAATTTAATGGTAAGTATTGTCCAAATTAATTTATCAATGCATTTAACTGAATCATCATATTCAGTTTCTTTCAGCCGTTTCTAATACTAGTCGGCACTGGGCGTCGTAGTAAACGGTGTTCAGGCATACGTAACACATAACTCAACCATCTTATTCGATGAAGATTCACAACCTTATCAACTGATTTACCATTATCCCCTAATACCTTGCGTCTAACCTCACTATTACTTACCTGATGATCCCAGCAGATGCAAGCAATATTTCTAAGACATCTGTGATCACATACTAGCATGAAAATTTATCAAATTTCAAAGAGATATCCTAATACATATTTTGTATACTTGTTTACTCTTTCCACTAATGCTTAGTTGTTTCGTTTTTTTGTAATCATTTTCTAAGATTTTGTTTTAAAAAAAGATTCATTAATGATTGTAATAAGAATTATTATTTTGGTTATCTTTTGTAAATTACCTTTGGTAGTGCAAAAGTTCAAATCATTTTATAGCATATAAAATTCTTTCATTCTAAAAAAAGAATCAAGTAAGATTTTCCGTAATGATCTAGCTTCAATTGACTCATGATCTCAACTATTGAAATAATGTTGAGTTTATTTTGCCTTTGTGGTTCATCTTTACTTTTTTATACAATGATTTAATGCATTTGTTTAAAATCAATTTTTCTCATTAAGAAAAGAAGAAGAAGACTATCAGCATAGGGGTTGTGGAGATTATTAAGTTTTTAATTGAGATCATGAACCGATTGATGTTAGACGACCGTTGGAAACCTGAAAACACTGACGCATTCACGATCTTGCTCGTTGGATTCGAACTCAGGGCCTTCAGTCTCGCTCGCGAACCTTTCCAGGTTTCCAACAGTGGTCTAACATCAATCGGTTCATGATCTCAATCAAAAATAAGAAGACTGGTCGTTTTGTCTTTCTCACATTCTATACCTTTCGCCAAATTATTGATTAAGTTAATATAAATAAAAAGCAAGTGAAAAAAATCCTAATGGAAAGAATATAACAGAATGATAGACTACCGCTATCATTAATTTGTATTCTTGTAAAATGTTTCACAAGAGTTCGATAAGGAAACCTCGATTTAGACTTAGATAGAATCAAATATTTGATTCAAGATATAATTTTCTAGATGAATGTCAAAACTTTAGGTAGAATGTTATTCCTCTTTTCTATTTAACGCATGATTTATGGAAAAAAAATGATGTAACTGTTAAAATAGAAATTATTTTCCCATAATACTTGATGAAGTGATAAGTCAAACAATAGCATTCTAACGGGGATTATTGATTTATAATTTACCTACCTCTTAGTGTCTTCTATTCTTTCAAAGTGTCAAATAATAAGGATCTGTGAATAAGACCAAGGTTACATTAAAATTTATCTTTAAGGTGATAACTTGTCTACTTACATATAAACGATTATTTTATTATATTTCTTACGATAAAAACTTTAGAAACATTTATGCGCAGTATACTCATCGTGACTTTAAGAACGCAATACGCTGAAATATTTTCATATGAAAGGAAATAAAAGTGACAGATAGAAATGAACCATGCACCGGTGGATTATAATCTGAGCACATAATCATCCGTAAATCTGTCGTAAATTACCGTTTGATATAGCAGAAAAGGATAAAAACAAGAAATATATCTATATTTTATAGTTAACTTCAAGGACTGATCTTAGTTAGACAGCCACTGAAAACCAGAAAGCACTGGAAAGCTGTTTCGTCCTAGTGTGGAGTTCTAACGAGAAACCGTGGGCAACATAGTTCACATGCATTGAATGTGAAGCAGTTATCTATTAAGTACATTGAAAGATGGTGTTCGCAATATTGCGAACTGACTGAAGTTATACATCTAAATCACTCGTTGCCGGCTCAGCAGTTTAGAGATAGGCGTATGTGCATGGGATGTCAAGTCTTCAGTTCGACTACCGGTGGCGTAATCGGGGATAATCACTGTTGAGGGGTTCCACATCAGTTTTCTAGCACCCTCTAGTTGTTTGACCAACATCATATAATGATGTTAACTGTAAACTGAACTCACAAATCCCGTATTGTAATGTTCTTATATGTCTATCATAAAATTTGTCATTCAATAGAATTTTATTTTCACCATATATACATTAAAAAAATATGATGTATAGAAAAACAGAAGGCCAGTTTCGCAATAAAAAATGATTATTTTTCTGTCAGATTTATTGGACTGAGTTTGTATCCATTAGGAATGTTGAAATACAAAAGTAGTTTGCTTGATTTTGACAACTGTTCGAGAGTATCAGTATGTATTTCATTTTTATAGGTTAATAGTAAAGTCTGCTTTTAATAATTAGCACTAAAATTTTGACATGAATAAAAATATAAAGAATACTTATAAATTATTTCAGTTATTAAGTTCGACATCTCAGGATAGAATAAATCAAAATGTACACAAAAATTTGATCAATGACTTTTAGCTAGAAATACACACTAATTAACCACTGGTGGGGTTTGGCTCTCTTAGCTAGATGGTTGATTACTATTGACAATAATCAATCAAGCTCAAAATCGTTAGGACAAACTGTCAATTATATGTGCAAGACTACGAACACCTCACTTCTACGTAGATTGTTCACCCGGGTGGCTTTCTTGAATATCTTGGCTACCTGCTCCTACCATTTAGATATTTCAACAAGTTATCTGTTGGCTTGTTTGTTAACTGATCCTTATGTCAAATAATTGCATAGCCTGTTCAGATGCATTTACGAAAAGTTTACGACCTTTCACTGTACAAGTTACAAAAACTTACAACCGCAGACATCGTGATGGCTGACAATGTGCATTGAAAAGAATGAATATTATTCCGATGTCGTCTTCTGAAATGCTATTATACAACTGGCGATCACTCAATATTTGTCATCAATACCAATTAAGAAAAAAGAAACGGATACTCGCTGAAATGCTTTGTGCTGAGAATTCTATATTATACCAAAAATATAATATTAAATGAAGCTAACAATAACAATAATAAATTCAGAAATCAAGATCAGTTAACATTCGCTTTATCAGCACTTTTATGAAGGATACTTTGTTTAGTATTAAAATCATTTAAGATTGATAATGAAAAACTTATAACGAAGTGAAAATGTGATGATCAGTAGGGAAAATTGAATGGAACCTCATGTGGTAAGCCACAAATCTTCACTATCACATAATTAACTGATATCGAACTGTATTTTATCACATTGGTGTATTTTAGTGACCAGTTAGAAGAATAATACACTATTAGTAAGATACTTATTATGTATTTCCTATTTATTAACTGGGCAAGTATATGTTCACTATTTAAATTAAATTATTTTATTAAGTCAAAAATGAACTTTCATTTATAACTTTTTTAAAACCACGTCGTATCATAATAACCATGTTATCTACTATTGATTCATGAAAAAACAACTATACTGTTCAATAATTATAAAACTAAAAATTGTTACATTCTGCTTATATTACCTAGCAAAGTGTTACAGTTCAAATGGACACTTGAATTTAGTTGGTCAACCGTTAAATTATCCTCAGTCTAAGATAGACAGTTATTTTAGTCTGTATTAAAAAAACAACAACCCTGAAATCTATAATTTATTATACTTTGTCTCTGTGTATTTCTTTCTGTCTATGTTTGTGTCTATTATCACCTTACTTACTTACTCATTCATTCATCCACTCACATGCAAACTATCTCTCTTTCTATGTCTTTACTGAATAAGAGTTATATTATTCATAGTAAGTCTACTGAATTCAATGCTATGTTTAACTACCGTGACCAAAATAATAAATAAATCAACAAACAACAACAAATCTCAGGTTATTAAGTTGCTATTATTATTTTTTCGAAGAAAAAAAGAGGAAATAATTTATTATTTTCATAAGTTACTAGAAATTATTTATTGAATTTGACTGGGAGTGAGCAAGATCCTTCAGTGGGCGTAGTTTTCACGAATCTTTTCAAAAAAAAATAAATAAATTACGATAAACTATATCATTTAATTCACTTGGTATTGTTTGGCTTGTATCTTCCCATTGAGGTTTAAGACTGCAATTGATCAGTCTGTTATTGGCATATGTGCATACTGTGCGTATGCCGCGATATTACCTTAATTCACAAGCTATTTGTAAGCAATGATGAATAGTGGATAGTCCCAGAGTGAACATCAACTCTCTGAGATGCAGGTACATCCAGCTGACGAGTCCCAAATAGGACGAAACGCGCGTCCTGGATTCCACTACTAGCCACTATCCATCATTGCTTATATCATTTAATGTTAGATTTCCTTTATTATTATTATTATTATTTGATCACTATGAATTTTAATGAATTTAATTTTATCGAGAAAAGAAAATGTTCTAAACTTTTTAAATATAAATATCGTCAATTGATAGTTGTCTCTGATATTTCTTTTCAATCGAAACTATATCGTTTGAGTCAGTTTATGAGGATGATAATTTTAACACTAATAATACTAATAATAATGATATTTGTTAAAGATGATAATATTGATTATTGATGTTAACAAGCAATCAGAGTAGATATAAATCACTATTGATCAGTATACTACTCATTTGTTTTAATTAATTAAAATGGATATTATCATGTTTAAAACAGGAAAATTAGTTTTCTTTTCTTCTTCGTGTTGTTGTTGCACCTTCTAGATAAAAGTAAATGATTAACACATAAATTGAAATGTTTACTTAAAGATAATTCAAATCTCTTTGTTATGTAAAAACAATTTATAATTGTGCGTTAATATGTTAAAACATTTTAAGGATGTTCCATTCAGTTGCTTCATCTAATGAATAGTAAGTTTAATGAAAATGGAAAAATAGGGAAAAAATTGTAGAAATTTATTCTTTGGTTTGATATTATCATTGAAACAAAATAAGGATCTAATCAATTCGTAGTAAGGTTTCATGATAGATTAGGATAAAGAAGGAAATCAAGATACACTGAATATATATATATATATATATCATCTTTATTTGTTGCCACTTAACAAAATACATCCCTCAAATACATGTATAACGAGATAGAAGTGTTTTCTGATTATGGGTAATTTGCAACTTAATTTCAGTTTATGGTAAAAATAATTTTTAAATTAGAATCATTTTGTAAATTTTTTTAGATCTAGATTTATTGTGAAAACAAAATTTTTTTGAAACCCACCAATTTTTTAGTAATTGATTGATTCCATTAATAACTTAATCAAAGTATCATTTGAGCAGATTCCTCAAACAAATTGTAGAAATTAGGATTAACAAGCTCGTAGATGAAGTTTAATTTAATGGTAAAACATTTTTAATATTAACGTGGCTTTATTGTATATTCAATAACTTTGTAGTGAACACGTTCCTCCTGCCTATTGTCATATTTTACACCTCAATCGAAGAAATCAAAAAGTTCAAACTCGAACTGAAATGATTAAAAAGCAGTTATAGTCGTCAAAAATTGCTAGACTTTTATATTTCAGCATAATATTTCTAAGCTTTTGTGTGTCTGTTAAGACTTTATTAACTCAGAAATTTAAATAGATTACTGTACCAAAACCAAACCCATTTTTATTTTAACAGATGAGATCATGAGTCAATTGAAGCTAGGCCACCATGGAAAACCTGGAAGCACTGGACGGCCGTTTCATCCAATTGTAGAACTCCTCAGTAGTGCGCATCCACAATCACGCCTCACAACATTCGAACCTAGGACCTTCAGTCTCTTGCGCGAAAGCTTAATCTCTAGATCACTGGCATCACTGGCATCCAACGTTGTTTTCAGGTTTTACACGGTGGTCTAGTTTCAATCAACTCATGATCTCATTTATTAAAATTACTATAATATCCACAAAACCCCTTCTAATACCAATTTTTACTTTTTACAAAATTCTTATTAACTAAAATCTTGAAACCTATCTGCCAATAACAACAACTACCATCTACTATATATAAACCATCAAGATACATTTTCCAGTGTATTTGTCTATTTACTGAACAATTTATTTTTATAAATATGAGACAACGGCATTGTTTCGAGTTGATTGTGATTCTGAGTTTAACTTAATTCATTCATAAGATTATTTATGTTTTATATCTTATCTTGTCATTTTATTTGTTTAAATTTCTAGGATTCCCATTATTTGGCATTTATTCAAATGAATGACTTAGACGTAATAAAATAAATTTCTAAAGTTTTTGATGGTTTTATTCTTTAACTGTTTCACAACTGATTTTAAACATGTTTGTGATTAGTGTAAGATAAAAGCCTGTATTTATAAATAATTCTAATAAACTAATTAGATGAAATAGTAAAACTTTATTTAATGTTACTTACTGATTATCAGGTCAAGTTTATAGATCAGAATAATCTACAAGGATCACGTATATTTTATGAACACATTGAAGCATAGCTAAGTCTTTAATGTTAAACAATACTAAGTATGTAGTTCAAGAAAGCTTTGATCTTTTCAAAGAATTCAGTAATGGCTTATCATTTAAAGAAATATCATACAAAATAACCGATTCAATAGTAAAAAATATATAAATCCCAAAAGAAATCAATTTCCGATTCTTAGTTTAATAAGATAACATTCAACATGTCCAACATTATGGTTAAAAATAAAACTCAATTTCTGCATATAAACAAAAATTAATCTGGACAGTGTATAAATGAAACACTTTACAGATTTTAAGTCCAGAATTAGCTATAGTAATAATAAGGAATAATTAGCAAAAATACTTCAAATATAAATACAAATGAAGTAACTGTAATATTTTATGTACAAAATAGTTTGTAATTTATTATAATACAGCTAAGAGATAATACAACAATAGGTAAAAAGATAATGTTTGGACACTAATTTCACAAGTATAATGAGCTGATAATTGAATTTTGGAGCAGGAATGAAAAATAGCTTGTGATCAGTTAAGTGATTTGTTAGATAAACGCCTGAACAATAATTATGGTCAGGGTATTAAAAGCTAAGTATAGAAAGAAGTAGTGTTATAAAATGGATAGCTTCAGTTGTATATGGTAATTTTTATTCATTTACAAATTTCAAAAGCCTCAAACAAATACTCTCACCTTGCAACGTTAATTTGTAAACGAATACTTAGTTTGATACGACATTGTGTAAGTCTCAAAGTATATGTCCTATGTGTAGAAAACTAGTGTGAAACCAGTAGTTGATTTCATGTAACATTAATCATGGAGTGGGCTTTTAAATTTACTAATATAATCCTGGGTAATTTGCAGAAAAAATCAGTCTGTTACAGTGTTCAGTTACTTTTCATGGGTAACAAGTGATACATTCCAGATATACTTCTAATTTTTTTACTTCCACAAAGCATATTGTGTTAAATAATATAGCACAGATGCTAAAACTATTTCGTATTAAAACTGACATACAAAGTAGCGTTAACCAATGAAATATTTTTCTGAACTTAATGCTTGGTTTTCTCGGTGTAGACAGCACTAAAATGTTTGATGACTATACATCTAAAAGTGCGTCAAAAAGCTTTTACCAACCAACCGGAAATTAACTATACTGGTAATTTTAATCTATCAGTCGCTTTTCTAGGAAATAATTTACATTTAAATGAGAGATAAAAACAGTTTACCTTGATTCACTTGTTCCGAAGGGTATCTCGCTCCACTGAGACAACCTGATCTTAGTGTCTGACTTTTATGACAAGGTAATGTACAATCATGTTGGGGGGAACGTAAACATTGAGATAAACTGAAATGTGATTCAGGAAGAATTTTCTTTAATTTATTTCTTCTTAAATCGCTTGATGTACCAAAATTAATATGCCATTTTTTATTACAATGTGTAGAAGTAGAAGAAAGTTGGGATTGTTGATTGTGTATTCGATTATGTTGGGAATCATTAAACGAATATGGAGACTCAGTTGTTCTTATTGTTTGTTGAGTTTTTGCGCTACGACATCGAACTATTACAAACAGAATGAAAATTAAAACAAGTGCGGCTAGTGTAGCTATCACCATAGCAATTAATATTAATAAATCAGAAGAAAGTAGTAGACCTCTGTGAGATTGATGCAACTGAGAACTCCATAAATTTGATACATCATTGTTTATAGAATGTGATGATAATTTCAATGTTTCTTCTGTTTCATAATCATTCATTCCATTATTATTATTGTTATTATTATGATTATTAGCTGTATTGCTTTTTTGGTCGTAAATTTTTAATCGAGATTTTTGTGGTCCATTTAACGAAGATGAAGAGAAAAATGGTTTTTGAACAAAAATATCTAAAACAGATGATGAAGTTTTTGGTGGTACACCATGATCAGTTGCTTGTAAATATAAACGATACATTGAAGTTGTAATAGAATGCCATCTTTTAGAGCTAGACTGTTGACCATTATTATTATTATTATTATGAGTAGTATCATCATTAGATTCAACTGTCGAAGAATATGTTATTAATGGTTGAGCTAAATATAACCATCCACTCTCTGAGTCCAGTTCAAATTGTCCACCCTCATTACCACTGAGTAAATTATATGTCACTTTTCCTCGTAGACCTTCATCTGGATCAGTAGCAATTAACTAAAAATCAAAATAAATTTTACGTTATTAAATAGACTCATAGTTTATAAATCTATTGATGTATGACATCTGAATTTACTATCATGAATATGGTCAATTTAAGAACAAAGGAATTTAAATAGTACTGGAATGGCTTATCGCTGTAAACCCAGTTATGTATGGATGTAATGGTTATAGCGCTTTGAATTCATAGTCATATTTTACTCAGTTTCTGTAGTTGGATAATATCAATAGACATCAAATTAGAGAAAATTGTGTCCACAAGTGTACTTACTAGTACTTGGTAAATGAATTCCTTAATTGACCTATATACATCGTCAAACAGTTAGCATATTCCAACTTTATATTTTTGTGTGATGCTAGTCCATTCCTACAAAGGATTATGAGACGGATATCAACGATACCATTGAGTGATTCTCGTTTTAGTTTGTCACTTGGATCGAAAACGCCAACCACTAAGTTTTTAACTGTTACGTAATATAAAGGCTCATTAGTGAACACTGTCGAGAGGCCCTAAACTAAAAACGACGGCTTATCGACTATCGATTCTCTGTGGATCTCTACATACTGTATATTCAGTCTAGGTATACCTAAAGGACATATAGCTATATCCCAAAATATAATATATTAAATGCATTCATACACAAACTTGGCAAGGTAGTTTTTGTATTGGTTGTTTGGATCTTCCCACTGATGTTTAGGACTGAAATTGATCGGTCACTTCATTACTTTTAATCCTAATCATTAGTAATATCTATTTGTTTACCATAATATAAAACTTTATTTCTATCGGTATTGTGTTTCTTATACAAAAAATTATTGAATTTTCTCACACTCTACTTTTGACAATGATATTCACCTGCATAATACTATTGAGTCTTCTTAAATATACTCTAGTTCATGTTTATATATACTTGGACAAAATTTCCTTTACAAAAGAGTCTGACAAAGTTTTACAAAGAAATTCAGCATTCAAATATTATACATGTCACAAGAAGCTGATAAAAGCTGAAAAATCCCTAAACGAAAATAAGCTATTCCACTGAAATCATTAATTTCAAGTCTTTTGAATTTATTTTCATCGTACTTTTTAAACTTTTTATTCACTAGGGTGTAATTAGTTTATAGTGAAATGAATATGATATACTGAAGTTTGGTAGTTATTAATTATTTATACCCAAGAATTATTTTTTTTAATGTATACAGATAAAATTGTATGAAAAATATGCATTACTGAAATCTTTTTTAGACTAGTTGGTGCACATCAAATGTTTCAATACTTTCTATAATCTTTCAGTTGATATTTGAAATTGAACTTGATCAATGTTTGTTGGAATACGAAATTCTTGAACTGATACCTTGAAATTGCTTGTACTTACTTACTTCTTACTCCTGTTACCCATCGTGATGGAACATAGACTGGCCACCAGTAGTCACCATCCAACCCTGTCCTGGACAATCCTTTCCAGTTCTTTCTAGTTGTTATTCATTCTTTTGTTGTTTGCTTCCAATTCACGACGTAGTGTATCCTTTAGCCTTCCTCTTTTTCGTTTACAGCTTGCCTCGTGATCGTTTCCGTATTGTATGTTCTATCAACTACCAACGTCTTTTGCTGATTTCTTCCTCAGCTGTAATTTGGTTTGTTCCTTTCTACAGTAGACTGTTGCTGATGGTATCCGGTCAACAGGCACTAAGTATCTTACATAAACAATTGTTTACAAATACTTGTGGATGTTTGATTATGGTTGTAGTAGTTCTCCGCGTTTCAGTTCCGTACAGTATAACTGTCTTGATGTTCGTATTGATGATTCTGAATTAGATATTGACTTGCATACAGTTGTTTGGAGTTCCATATGTTCTTTAATTGTAGGAATATGCCTCTTGCATTGCCACTATTCATCTTTACATCTGTATCCTATCCACTTTGTTCATCGATGATGCTTCCCAGGTACGTGAAAGTTTCCACATCTTCCAAAGCTTCTCCATCAAGCGTGCCTGTAGTTACTGATATATTCATCCACTTAGCCTTAGACGGAATGAAGAGCGATTCCTGGGTTTTACTGATAGACACCGTACAGAAATACAAAGAAACAGGTCTACAATTTACATATATATATATGCGCATACATGTATCTATGTATATGTCGGTCTACAGTCCTAAACTGAATGTATTGAATTATTCATTTTCAAATCCATGCGAGTTTTGTTTAGTTCCAGTCACTTATTTCTACCCATATATATATATATATATATATATATATATATATATATATATATATATATATATATATATCACTGATTTAGATTTATCATCCAGAAACGATATTGACGTGATTATCTCAAAATAGTAATCATTATAATAACAGTGATTAGACTTAGTTATTTAGCAGTCAACCGAGAGAAAAAATAATAATTTTTTCCGGTTCAGTAGGAAGTAAACTTATTCTGATATTGAAATTTCATTTATTCCTCAAATCTATTTTTTTTATTTTATTATTTTAATATTTCAATACTAATAAGGACAATAAATGATTTTCATGTTTGTATTGGCATAAATATAGCAGCTGTTATTTTTGTATTTATCGTTTGTATATCATTTTTAATTTGTTTATTTATTTATTTACTTAGCTTCATAAAAAACATAATCGATTTTCACATAATCTCTTTCTCTTTCAGTTTTCTTCTAATTTAATCATAGTAATTGTAATAATAATAATAATAATAATAATAATATATTATTATTATTATTATTATTATTATTATTATTAAGATTATAATAGCAGTAATGGATATTCGGGTCGGTGATTAAAGCTAGTGTTATTCTCTCCTTTTATCCAATTATGCATAAGCACACATGGAAATATTCACATAATTATGAAAGGAATTATTACAAGTGTGTATGTATGTATTTGAATTTGTTGGGTGACTAAAACATGTGCTAACAATAAGACAGGAAGATAGAGAATAAGAGTTGAGAGAAATAAATTGAATAATAATAATAACAAATCTCTCTCTCTCCCTCCCTCTCTCTCTCTCTACATATATATATATATATATAATGTCACTAAACCTTATGTTTATGCTTGATTAACTGTGAAACATAATTACCAACTAATTTATACTATAAAACTTCATCATTTATAAAAGGAGTTCCAGGAAATCAGATTAGTGTCATATGTTGCAATAAGACCAACAGAATTGATAATGTAATAAGTATGATCATCTTCGTTTAAGATTATTATTATTATTATTATTATTATTATAAAAATCAAAGCATTCATAAATCTAACAAAGTGAAATTTTTTAGTTGTTGTTGTTGTTGCTGAGTGGTTTTATTATTTAATTAGTCAGTAAATTATAAGTTTATATCTGGCTCAATATTTTTCTATTCATTGAATTGATGGAATTTGTAATTGGTAAAATTTTAGTTCACATGTTTATTATTTTTTTATATAATAAATCTAGCAAAATATCGTGACAATTAGTAGTGAGTATTTACTATCTATATATATATAAACACACACAGGTGTGATTTAAATTTATCACATTCACTGTTTCATTCTTTCAGTGTAATTTTAACCATGAGGCAGGGAATATATATATATATATCGATCTGTTTATTATTTATTTTTAAATTTCCTATATAAATTACGTTACCAATTACAATGATTTATTTTGCTACGTTTGCCATTATCATCATTGTTATGATGATGATGATGATGATGATGATGATGATGATGATGATGATGGTGATCATTATCACTGTTGGGATGGTGTTGATTAATTTATCTATTTATTTATTTATTTATCAAGTTTATAAATTAATTTTTGTTATTTAGCTGTATTGTTCATACACATACACACTGATGCACGCACACATATACACACAGAGGTGAACATGCAAATGATAGTTGATTCTATTGATTTACTCAAACATTCATCATCATCATGAAATGGGATTTTGTGAAATAATCTGATCATATATATATATATATATCCAGATAAATACTGGGTCAAAGTGATTTTTCTAGGAAAACAAATTTTATTTTGAAAAATAAATTTGAGTAAAGTGTTTGTACATGGGTATGTGGGAAATATTAAAAAAAAACGGGGAAATCATTTGTATTTTTAAATTCCAATGTTTAATCGCCCACTATTTTTCACTTCATGAAAAATAATGAAAACGAATTACGAAAAGTTAATGAATAGAACGTGTATGTTGGACAATGGAACATGCATTTGATGTTGAATTTTGAGATGGAAACTAAAGAAATATGAATCAACTCGAATTGTTTCAGGTTCATGTAGAACCACTTTTTTCTTTTGTCATCATTCCAATATATAGAGTGAATCTAAGCATATTTATAATTGAATTTAGTCATTTCCTTATAACGTGACTTATAAGATTAGTTTATTTGTAGTTTACATCATGGATCGATTCTAACTAGATAACAGGTAAGAGTTAGGCTATATAATTGAATAATCTTCAAATACCTTTTCAATTGGGCATTATTTATTCTCATTTTACAATCTTAAAAGAAAACAAATGACACATCAACCAATTTGACTATTAATTTTTAAAATAACTTTTTATAACTGTTAGATTGTAATACATCCAGTTATGAATTAAGTTATTCTAATATCATAACCATGTTTGATGCTAATTCAATCTTGATATAAGTAAAATGGCATTTTTTTGAAACTAAAGAAAACTGCTTACTCATGCAAAATATGTTTAAAATATCAAAATAGTACTTTCATCTATTGTGAAAAGAAAAATATACATCTCGGAGAAATCAGCTTTAACAGAAATAGGATCGAACTAATCTTAACAAAACACTGTGTGAGCAGATAACCCTAATTGACATAACTCATTCTGAATTCCAATGAGAGTGAATTGCTTCATCTATCAAAGTAATAACAAATCTTACATAATTACACAGATTCATTAACTTCTAGATTACTCCCTACGGTTATCAACAAAGTTTGGATGTAAACAC